GAAGAACTCTAAAGATATACCCACTTGTATAATGATGATGATTATTAAGGATATCTAGAAGAACTCTAAGATATACCTCCTTGACCAATTCATATTTCGGGGTTAAAACGTACGTACGGGATCCAGACCGGATATCACCCACCCGACAAATCATTGTTCGGTTGGTACGTAATCCACACGACTCATAGGGTGGATTATCGATTCTTGTGTTCTGCATTAAACTATTTATAGTTTAAGGGCCTGGTTAGAAATGTTGCCTTAGACTAGGAATAGCTAAGAGCTTGTTATAAAATGATTTGACTTTAGATTAAGAATAATTTAAGAGCATGGTTGAGATATTGAATATCGAATGATTTGGAATAAAATATTGAGAATATCATGAATGTTTGAATAATATATTGTGTGCATGATATCAAATGGTTGATTATGAATTGAGATTCGATTTATTTGGATGTTCGACGCTTTAGATATGCTTACTCAGCTTCATTGCTGAGCGTGTAGTATGTTTTATTTGCTACACGCAGGTAGACAGAATGAGTGAATGGCATGTTCTTGGCAGCGGAAGGGGCGAGACAATCGTGGTGGATTTATTGAGAAAATAAATGATTATGTTATTATGAATCATGTTTAAAAATTGCTTCCGCATTAAACACTCCGTATTTACTACATTTATGTTTGGAATTTCATTTATGATGAATAAAGTTATTTGAAATGTTTTAAATTATACGATTACCAAGTTAATACTTTAGTTCGGAAGGGGTTGTAAACCTGGACGGATTAGGGTGTTACAAATTTATATAGGCCTTGCGGGTATAATACCTGGTGGCCAGGGTTAAAACGTACGTACAAGATCCGCAAACCAAACTTGAGTACCTACTCGTTTGGGTGCACCACCCAACCCGACAGTTAGTCTGATGTTCGATTTTTGCCTTAAATTGATTTCAGTTTAAGAGTCTGGTTATTATTTTCCTTAAACTAATTATAGCTTAAGAGTCTAGTTATCAGTTCAAATTTTCCTTAAACTGATTACAGTTTAAGAGTCTGGTTATTCATTATGCCTTAGACTAGATTAGTCTAAGAGTCTCGATATTAATTTAGCCTTAGTTTAGGAATAATCTAAGTCTTGTTATTAATTTGGCCTTGAACTAGAAATAGTATTAGATTATTGTTAAAAACATTCACAGGGAATATTTAATGAATATTGAATATTGAATATTGAAAAGTCTTAACCTATGACGGATTAATAATCCTTGTTGTTAATCTAAAGGCGATATGTTGATTATGATATTGAATGAATGAAAAATAATATGTTTACATATTGATAATAAGCTGATAAACCAATAAGAAAAGTTAGACACATAATAACGAAGGTTGAAAAAAGGTTTTTATAGGCACGCTTGACCAACAGGCAGTCAAGCAGTCGGGCGCCTGTCGCCGCTACTTCTCCTAAAATATGGAACATTCTAGAACCTTTAGTAATTTGAAAATCTTTGATATGCAGGAAAGTAGGTGAACGCCTGCCACCCCTATTTCACAACCTGCGCCATTTGGAATGTCGCCTGCATTATTAACCTTGGTTTGCTAAGCCTCATGTTTTTTATGTTAACAAACAATAGAAGAGCAAACGGTTGTTTAAGTGTTTCAGGTACAACAAGAATCCATTAAGATTCGGTTCACAAGAATGAAAGTCGAAATACTAAACTACCGTAGAATATAGGTAGAAACCATTGTAAGGATATGATTTTATATGTCTATATTCACAAGCTCAAAAGCACTCACAAAATATGTTTAAAACCTTCTTATAATCATTTTCAAACATCCAAAAGGTTTTAAACAAAATTGGAAATGATTTGGACAAAAATATAAAAAATCATCAAAACAGTCAAAAGGTACCATATACCATAACAAGTATCGTAAGGGGTACCGTGAGCCAATCTGAGAAGGTACCCCCTACCGTCTAGTTGGGACCCCCCTACCGTAAGGGGTACCATGAGTCCTGAGAAGGTACCCCCTACCGTAGACCTTTGCAAGTACCGACCGTTTCAACTCTAGCTCAGCCCAGAATGAACTGTGGCGGTACCCCCTACCGTGACCACAACACAGGTACCAACCATTACAACAGAGAAACAGCCTAAATTCTATTTTAATGGTACCCTGTACCGTTTCAACGGTACCCCCTCTCGTTACCATTGAAGAAAAAATTCAAATTCCGGATTTCAAATCTAATCACTTTTAATTAGTCAAAATCCTTCCAAATTTGTCTCCACCTGCAAAATTACTTTTTCCACTATAAATACAAGCTTAAATCTTCATATTTTAACAAGAAACAAAGTTTCAAACATCCTCTCTTTATATAATAAGTGTGTTCATTCTTTTACTCATTATTTTCAATATTTTGGCTATTTTAAGAGCCTTAAATTCCTAATTTCTATACACACACTTTGAGCTCGTGTTTTAGATATATACTCGCATGTTCATAAGTTTATATTGTATTTTTGAGAGAGTATAATTTCGTTCTACACCGGCTAAGTTTCGTTCTACATTTTTATATTCAAGCCGTTGTGTTGAACTCTTGTTTGTGTTCATCAAACACACATTTTATACGGTCGAGAATAGCCATTAAGTTCTCACGTTGTAACAGTTAAGGATAGCAGTCCTTGGGTAAAGGTTCAAGGATAGGCTTTGAAATCCTTGGGGGAACGATCGAAGATAGCCGTAAAATCTTCAGTGTAAAAGGTTCAAGATAACCGTTGTAAAATCTCGGAGTGAATCCTATTGGCAAGGGTTGTTTGACAAAACTAGTGCGGTGCTTTGACGGAGTTCAACAGACCGAGACTTAGTGGATTCGGAAATCCTCAAGGAGGAGCCTTGAGGTACTGGAGTAGGGGTTTCCCGAACCAGTATAAAATCAGTGTGTCTATTACTTTACGCTTTTATTTCTGCGTTTTATTTATTGCTTCCGCATTGCCAACACCGTTTTTATTAAACTCCGAAAATATTTTAAACATCTTATTCACCCCCCCCCCTAAGGTGTGGGCATAACGACTAACACACACCCATTTCTGTTTGTCACATCCTTGTCTTGCGACCAAGTAGGCAGCTGTTGATCAAGCTACCTGTCGTGCACCCATCACCTTCTCTACTGTTTTGCTTAAAACTTAATTTAGAGCCCTTTTTTATTCTTGGAAGACTTCAAATTCCATTCAGATAGCAAGATATATTTCTATTTCTTGCTAAAGTTAAACACTGTTTATATTTTCTTGACCTATTAAATATTTCTACTTTATTTAGTGAAAAAGTAAACTTTTAATGTTAAAATTAATTTAAGAGTTTCAAAACTTATTAATATGAGTCCAAAACACGTTAAATGTGAGGGTAAATACAAGTACAAAACGAACTTATCAATCTCCTCACACTTAAACATTGTTTTCCCTCAACGCCTCAAGCAACAAATTCATCTTAAGTAGAAGAGAGATTTTATGACTTACTGTCAAAACTCGTAACCCTTGAAAACAACAATAATTTGCAAGTAATAGTTTACCCTTAACTTTATCTAATCCCTTGTTGATTTTTATCTTTTTTTATTAAACTCACATGCTTTCTGAATTCTTAATGATGTGCACAAGTTTTAATCTTAAATCATTTTCTAAAGGGTTAAATATTTAATAGATTTTAATCCTAGGATAGTTATCTCTCTATCATTTATTTATTTTGTTAAAATGTCAGGTGAGTATTCCAATGGTGCCCATATTTATTATTGGAATTATTATTATTATTCTATTAATTATTATTATTTTAGTTCATTTTTAATTGGTAATGTTTTTAGTACAGAGCTTTCCAATGAGATAGAATACACAATCGTGGTGAAAGTATACTATTAAGATGGTGGGTTTATCATATTAATAATGCTTACTTGCTCCCTCGCATCATGGGATTAACTGGAGTAGTAGAGCTTCTTTTCAAAAATAAGATTCCCAATTTATCACTTAAGCGAAATCTCATCCATTACCAGTACTTATTAACCCTTATCATTCTTAACCAATTGTTGGAATACATTTTCACATTGACGTTTTGCTAATGGAAACGTTTACTCTATGTAGATTTTGATATTGACAAGCTGTCATGATCATAGAACAATTTAGGAAGATTCAAAGGCGATGACAAGAGTTCTTTGAAAAAACAAAAACACAAGGAAAGACGATGATGTTTTTTGAATGCTTGGCTTTTGACTTAAACTAAAGACCACGCTTAGGTTTCTAAATGCCAGGGAAAACATCAAATATCCCTGAGATATTAAATATTTAGTCTTGACCATGGCTTTTGGGTATGGCCGTTGGTTCTTGGTTTTTGACTATTTTAGCCAACTTTATTTTTGCCCCTGGTTTTTATTTCCACCTAACCAACCTCAAAATATCGGATATCAAATCGTTATTTGAT